TTATTGACTTTATTTTGCTTTGCAGATTATATCTGCAGGTGTGTGTAATAAGTCTTTATAGGGGGTTATAAATCATTTTGAACATAAGACTTCTATTTAATTTTTAATGTGTGAGAAAAAATTTTATTTATCCAGTCAGTGTTTAACTGACTGAATAAACTGGCGCAATAAGTTAAGATACAACAATGTGCTTTTTAAATTCAGCATACTGCAAAAAAGAAAATAATAATAACAATGGTATGGGAAAATCATTTGATATAAGAGATTTTATGATATAAAATTGCTGCTTATAAATGAATTATTGGCTGATCAATAAAATACAATCAGACTGATTACTTAATTCTGAATATAAAAGAAAACTTAGGAACATTGACATCATAACTGACCTAAATCAACATTTTGTGCAGATAAATTGGTCTTTAGGGTTGCATCTTTATTTAGTTAAATATACCTGGTCTAAACTTGTTAGGTTGTGCATCGTTTGGCCTAAAACCTTCATAGTGCTGACCTCTAGAGGTTGAAACTTGGCTACTAAAGGTGAATCTTCCTATTAGTTAAAACAGTGCAGCTTAGTACACATCTATTTCACATTCTACAAATGGTAGAATGATCTAGGTGATAGCTTTCCAGTTTCCTGCTTGTGGACGCCCTTGTCTTATTCCACAACCTTTGGAAATGTTACAACTATGGCAGACCGTTTTGAAATTTATTAGAAGTGCTATCCTCTCTTTCGTTCCATTTGTAGATCCCTAAAATAAGATTCTTCCTGATCAAAACTACATGCCTACAAGTCAGAACTGTAGACAGAGACTTCCTAAATTACATTTTTTGCCAGCAAAAACTAAATTTCTTGATGCAAAAAATAGTTAGTATAAAAATTCAAATACTTAGAAATCTTTATAAATTTTAAGTGGCCGTTTCGACATTTATTATCTTGATAGAATACATATATTGCAGATATCAAAAAGCATTTTTTCTTAGTCAAAATTTACATTTTGGATATCTTAAATAACATTTTTCCTATCTAAAACTGATTTAGGATGAAGGATGAACACTAATTTCAGATCTCCATAATCAAGTTGCTACCAGTCATAATGACAATTTCGGATATCAAAAATGAATATAACATTCTAGAAATCCAGAAATCTAAGACATTGAAACTATATTTCTACTAGTGGAAATGTTCTTGTCAAATGTTGTTATATTACTTGTTAAACTGAAATTTTAATAATGCCCATCTAAGTTTTAGATACTTCAAATATATTTGACTAACTTTCAAAAGAATAATGGGGCTCCGTTTTAACATAAAAAAGGCAGGCTGACTAGTCACATTTCTTTTTTTTTTAGTTTTTATGGCACTAGTGGCTCATTTTGTTTCGACAGCAGGCTGACAGGAAACGCTAAAGCATTGTACCTAGTCACGATTACAATGTTCCTAGTCAGAACTGTATTGTAGATATCACTAATTACATTTCTGCAAGTAGAAATTTCATTTTAAGTAATCAAATTTATACTAGTAAGAACTACATTTCATATATGTACAAATTTTTACTTATCCAAGTGGCCGTTTTAACACATATTTGTTTATTTATTTCAGATATCTTTAATAGAATTTTTCCCATTCAAAATAAACATTTCCAATATCTGAAATGTAATTCTTACTACTGTAGTTCAAAATTACATCAATTTTTCCAATAATGTTTATTGGGCTTGTATGTCCAGGTACCTAAAATAAAATTTTTCCTATCTAAAATAAACATTTTGGATGTCTAAAACTAAATGCTCACGAGGATAAACTCTAATGTCTGATCTCCATGATCCAGTAACTACTAGTCACAATGAAAATTTAAGGTATTAAAAATGAATATAAAATCCTAGATATCCAGAAATCCAATTCTTGAAATGAATAATATATTTCTACTAGTAGAAATGGCCTTATCAGCTATTGATATATGACTAGTTAAATCGGAATTTCAGATATCTAAATTTTAATAATGCCTATCCAAAATCCAGTTATATATATATATATATATATATATATATATATATATATATATATATATATATATATATATATATATATATACACTATATTGCCAAAAGTATTTGCTCACCCATCCAAATTATTGGAATCAGGTGTTCCAATCACTTCCATGGCCACAGGTGTATAAATTCAAGCACCTAGGCATGCAGACTGTTTTTACAAACATTTGTGAAAGAATGGGTCGCTCTCAGGAGCTCAGTGAATTCCAGCGTGGAACTGTGATAGGATGCCACCTGTGCAACAAATCCAGTCGTGAAATTTCCTCGCTCCTAAATATTCCACAGTCAACTGTCAGCTGTATTATAAGAAAATGGAAGTGTTTGGGAACGACAGCAACTCAGCCACGAAGTGGTAGGCCACGTAAACTGACGGAGCGGGGTCAGCGGATGCTGAAGCGCATAGTGCGAAGAGGTCGCCAACTTTCTGCAGAGTCAATCACTACAGACCTCCAAACTTCATGTGGCCTTCAGATTAGCTCAAGAACAGTGCGCAGAGAGCTTCATGGAATGGGTTTCCATGGTCGAGCAGCTGCATCCAAGCCATACATCACCAAGTGCAATGCAAAGCGTCGGATGCGGTGGTGTAAAGCACGCCGCCACTGGACTCTAGAGCAGTGGAGACGCGTTCTCTGGAGTGACGAATCGCGCTTCTCCATCTGGCAATCTGATGGACGGGTCTGGGTTTGGCGGTTGCCAGGAGAACGGTACTTGTCTGACTGCATTGTGCCAAGTGTAAAGTTTGGTGGAGGGGGGATTATGGTGTGGGGTTGTTTTTCAGGAGCTGGGCTTGGCCCCTTAGTTCCAGTGAAAGGAACTCTGAATGCTTCAGCATACCAAGACATTTTGGACAATTCCATGCTCCCAACTTTGTGGGAACAGTTTGGAGCTGGCCCCTTCCTCTTCCAACATGACTGTGCACCAGTGCACAAAGCAAGGTCCATAAAGACATGGATGACAGAGTCTGGTGTGGATGAACTTGACTGGCCTGCACAGAGTCCTGACCTCAACCCGATAGAACACCTTTGGGATGAATTAGAGCGGAGACTGAGAGCCAGGCCTTCTCGTCCAACATCAGTGTGCAACCTCACAAATGCGCTTCTGGAAGAATGGTCAAAAATTCCCATAAACACACTCCTAAACCTTGTGGACAGCCTTCCCAGAAGAGTTGAAGCTGTTCTAGCTGCAAAGGTTGGACCGACGTCATATTGAACCCTATGGATTAGGAACGGGATGTCACTTAAGCTCATATGTGAGTCAAGGCAGGTGAGCAAATACTTTTGGCAATATAGTGTATATATATATATATATAAAAATGGCTTAACAATTCAAATAAAGATTTCAGAAATCTGAAATGTAATTCTTACTTTTACAAATTACATCACTTTTTCCCATTCATGTTTAGGGCTGTGACTTTCATAAATAATATTACTTCTATCCAAAATAAACATTCTGGATGTCTAAAAATGACTTTCAGGTGTCTGTATAACTAACAGTAGCATAGCTTATGTAGTTTTAAGTCTTGGGAACATAAATTTAAGACATTCTGTTTTGTAAATGTAGTTTTCTCCCTGTGGATTTAAAAACAGTAATGGCACCAGTGATAGTTTAATCGCCAGAACCGAATAAAAATAAACATTTTGTTTTGTATACACTCTGTATATACAAAAGTATAATAAAAGTAATCTAAGTCTTGGATATCTATGGTGGCACATCCACTAGGCCCAACTCGGTGTCATCTTTCATGTTAACCTTATGAAATTTAGGAAACTAGGAGAAGTACTTTTTTAAGCCTATGAGGATTATTCATGGGGAGGTCAAGATAACGGATATATGTTTAATGTCAACTTATCTTCGTATTCGGCAGCCAGATAAGCTGATCAGGAAGGCCAGCTCTCTGATCGAATGCCCTCCAGACTCAGCACAGGAGGTGGAAATCAAATGGATCCAAACTAAATTAACACTTCTGTTAGATAATGTCTCCCACCCCATGCATGAAGCTGTTGCAGAACTGGAGAGCTCCTTCAGTGACAGACTGCTGCACCCTAAATGCACCAGGGTGTGTTATCACAGATCCTTCCTCCCTGCAGCTGTAAGACGCTATAACCACCACTGTTCCCAACATCCTAAACAAGTTGTTACATTAATGCTGGTTTTCTACATTAGTCAGTTAAATAACATGCTGCTGTTATTTTGCACCTCTCTGATGTTGCTGCTATTTTAAAATATCCATATTTTAAAAATGTCCATGGCTGCATATTGGTTATTTATTCTCCAGATGCACAGTTTTATATTGTTAAAACACTTTACAGTACCCCTTAGAAAAAAGTAGTATACTTGAAGTATACTAAATTGAGAAATTTTTAACTTTACTAATGTATACTTTAGTAAACACTTTTTATACTTCTCAGTGTAAGTCAAGTACACTTCACTATACTATTGTTAAGTATATGAAACATAGTTTAGAATAAGTAAACTCTAAGCTCACTGCCTGATTTTAAGTATGAAATTAGTGCACTTTTAGTATACTTGAATAAACTACTTTTTGCTAAGGGACATTATTTTATAACTCTTCACTATTATGTTATTCTTATATATTTTTCTAAGGTCCACATTTGTGTGACCATTTTTCTGTGATCTAATATGGATATAACACCAGAATTCCCCCATTGTGGGGCAATAAATTGATTTTCTATACTATTCTAGCCTTTTTAAAAGCTCCTTAAATATTTATTACAGTGACAAAGAGGGATGATAGCTACTTTAACACGGCTAACTTTATTTCTCTGGTTACCACAGCTTTTATTTTCCCCAGCAAAGGAGAAATAGTAAAGAAAGTAGGTGATCTCCTGACAGACATTGAATAAAAATAGTCAGGACACATTTTACCCAGATGAAGTACTCTGCACATCATGCTTGGTTCAGGTTGATAAAAGACGTTGCCTGGAACCGGTTCCTACCTGTCCTCCGATGGTGATGTCGAAGAAGACAATCGGATTGTTGGGGTTCGATGGTTGAACAGACATTTTTGGTGCTCTGCTTGGTTTATTAATAAAAAAAAAATATATCACACTTGAATCATTTGAATCGCCTATACACATAGAGCATGCGCAGATCAGACAGGAGGTACGGTGGCTCACGAAAGACATATGAGATAATGGGGAAAAAAAGACAAGCGCGATATGAGCGTTTGAAGGTGCCCCTTAGTGGCCATGTAAGGTACTTCTTCTATCTTCTCATTGGTGGATCGATACAACGTCGGGTGAATACCGCCACCATCTGTACATTATTTAGTAAATCCGCCTACTGTATTCAGTTTGAGTCTTTTGATGTGTAAAAAAAAAAAAAAAAAAAAAAAAAATATATATATATATATATATATATATATATATATATATATATATATATATATATATATATATATATATATATATATATATATATATATATATATATATATTTTATTTTATTTTTTTTTTTTTTTATTTTACTGATTTATTCTCTACCTCTCCTCTGTTCCCAATATTTCTTTTAGACTTAATTATCTTTCTCTTTTGCTTACTTTCTCCCTCATCCTCTCTTTTAGCAGCATTTTTAAAACACCTTCATCAAAACATCAAATATAGTGACCAACATTGACCTTAGACAAATACTCTTATGAAAGTACCTACTTTACAGATTAAAATCTGAATGATGTGACTGGCACATAATTCCAGTCATCCAGTCAGCTCTTTGTAAAAACACATTTTACTGCATTTCTAATAGCATCCCTTCTTTAGTTAAGTCTCCATCAGATCTTTACATTTTATTCTTTATAAGATAGATTCAGCTCAGTCAGAATGAATGGAGAGAATCAGTTAACATATATGCTCAAGTCTTTGTACAGATGGTCGACAATATTCCAGTACCTGAAATCCTTTTGAATTATTCTAACTTTTGCTGTTAGGCTCTCTTTCCTGCTGGAAAGTAAACTCTACTAGTCCCAATAGTTTGACACATTTTTTTAGAATTAGAAAAAGAAAAAATTGTTATGATCAATCTAAAAAGCTGTGTTTTGCAACAATTATATACAAAGGCCAATTCTTAAGTCTTTTATTTTTTGAGGGTCTTTGTTGCGTTGTGTTTTGATGCTGTTGAAAAATGAAGCATTAAAATCAGCTGTTAACAGTTTTACAAATCAAACATTTAGTTTTAGGAATTATTCAACTAGCCAGTTTAATTTATTTAGTTTAGCCAGTTTAATTTATTTAGTTTAGTTTATTCATTTAAAGAAACAGGGACAGCGTGCAATAAACATTAACCTCAAGGGGAGAGATGCATTGTACCAGGATATACCTCAAATGCTTATTATCACCCTTACAGTATCTGGGCATGTTATAGTAAAATACATACAGCATCATACATACATCGATAATGGCATTTATATTGACCAGATTTATAATAAAAAAAAATAACTAATAATAATAATTTAAAAAACTCAAGCCTTCACATGCAAAAAAATCCCATTGAAAAAAATTATTCACACCTTTCACTTACTAAGGACTGCTCTTAGAGACTTCAGAACACACGCACGCACACACACATGGTCACAATTTGGTGACATGAATCAAATTTTTGATTCTGTAGAAGGCGGTAAGGATGGGTGGGGGCAGGTGGGCTCTCCTCATCCTCCATAGGAAGTACATGCTCTTTTTTGTCCTTTTGACCAGTGAGGTGGTATAAACAGGTGGTTCTGCTTCGCTGATCTAATGGCATGGTTAAAGTTGGCATGCCCTGTCATCAGTGCCTCTCTGTCACCAGAGTTGAAAGTTGAGTTATATGCTTTTAGCGATTTCTGAACCTCCCCATTCAACCAGGGTCGTTGGTTGGCCCGGGTCTTGATGTTCTTTGTGATGCTGACATCCTTAACGCATTTGTTGATGTAGGCTGACACAGTCATGGTATACTCATCTATATTTATTTTGTTGTCATAGGTTGCTGCAGCTTTGAACATGTTCCAATCAGAGCATCGAAAACAATCCTAAAGTTTCTCCAAAGCCCCCGCAGACCACACTCTGACTTCCCTAACAGTTGGTTTTGCCCTGATTAGCTGGGGCCTGGATGCAGGAATTTGCATGAAAGAAAAGTGATCTGATGAGCCGACGTCGAGGCGGGGACCTGCTTGCATCTTTGAAATTAAAGTAGACTACGTCTAAAATGTTTTGACCCCGAGTTGCAAAGTTCACATAATAAAAACTGATATTTCAAATATTATCCAAATAATCATTTCAAAATCTACATGATCTTGCTAAAATATTATAGTTTAAATCACCAACCTTCTGCTGTTAATTTACTATCACAGGAAAAATACATTGTGCAGAAACATTCGGGAAATGTTATGATTGTGCACACCTGCTGGAAGATGAGATTAGTCCATATATTGATTATGGAAACATTCAACATTCATATTTTACATCCTTAAAAAGTTTTCTGGACATATTAACAAAAATATAAATTACTTTGTACTTAAAGGCACATAAATTATTTCTGTACTTTGCTTTCTTATAAGCTTTCTATGAGCATGAATCAAGCAGCATAGCTCTAGAGCAATAAAGATAGGCCACTGTGTGGTTGGCAGTACAACACATTGAGTCTTTATGTTAATACATGCATAGAGGTTAGACCACTCAAGAAGAGTGCTGTTTTTTTTTCTTGAGATTAATTCCAAATCTTTTCTCTCTTCTTAATACAAATCTGAGTAAAACAAGAAGCTTCATGATTGCATACAGCAGATACCCTGATTATAGGGCAATTAACCATTTTTGTGTCACTTGCATAACCCTTATAAATAGATTTATCCCTATCAACCAGTGAGCTAGAAGCACAAGATTGTAAATCCAGCCAAACAGCAAAGATACTACCACTACTACGTGGCAGTACACATAATTTTTACCAATCAAATGATCCTTTGGATGATATGTCACCCTTTGTACATTAAATTGAAAAGAAAAGTTAATAAGTTAAAAAGGTAAAAACCTAAGTGGAAAAGTTAAAAAGCTAATTGAACAGTTAAAAGGTTAACAAGCTAACTTAAAAGTTGAAACTCAAGTTGACTGTATCAGCATTAATGATTTAACATTATGTATATATATATAAAGTGTTTCTTTTCCTCTGAGTGTTTTTCATGAATGTACCCTTTGTTATTTTTTGTAACATGTTATCAATTGACCATTTTTTGTTATTACATAGACCTTGATTTTTTCCATTAAATATACATATTTTTAAATGTCACAAAAGTAATAAGGTCTTGACTTAGCTTAATGTTTTGTGGGGGGTTTTCTAGTGCCATATAAAGGGGTTGCACAAGGGAAGAGTGTCTGTGAAAATAAGATTTCTAAGAACTGCTGTTTTTCAACTTTCAAATCAGCATTTGTTTCTAGGAACTACTCTGTAACAACACCTACCGGGTGCCCTTTAGGATATTTATAGAATGAAAACCAACAGGTTTCCCTTTGGTGATTTGAAACTAATCGGAAATAGGCGGTGCAATAGGAGGAGAAATTCAAAAGAGAAACCACCCCACCTGAGGATGATATTCTCAGAAGAACAAGCAATGCGCAGCTCTCTGCTAGATGGGTATCTCTGCTGAAGCTCCCTGAACTGCAGAACAAAAACACATAGCAGCAAGGTACAGTCTCAATGATCATAAAAGTTTACATTTAGTCAGACGCCTTAAAAGTTATTTTGTATAATTTAAGCAAAAAAAAATGTATTTTACTTTTGTACCTAAATGCAGTGTAGAACCTATCATTCTACTTTGCTGAAGAAAAGGATATCAGTTTGTACTTTTAGCACAGTCATTTTTTCACAGGTATCTGTGCTTTTATGTATGTAAAGAATGTGAGTACTTTTGACATCTATTGTCGAAGGGTTGTAGTGGAATTTTAAACTAATTAATAGAGACTGCATCTCACCTGCAGATCACTGGTTATTGGCTACTTAGGCCATTTGCACCTCCAAAACATTAACTTCAATTTTATGTATTTGTCTAACAGTTAATATAACAAAATATATCCTTATTACACACACATGAAAATACATTGTATTTTTGTTACATTTTGCATGGATTTAAGATGACTTACATTTATATCATAATCAGTGTTGATTTTGTAGCTATGAGATGTGATTACAATAGGTCACAGACTGTTTTCCACTGAAAGCCTCAGGATTTCTTTTACCCAGATAAAAAAAAAAATCCTAGAGGTTATTTCTGTTTCTGCTGCTCAGACAGTGTCACAGAACATCTATTATATGACTGCAAAAATGTAGATATGACTGTACTGGATTACACATTAATTATTTCTGTACTTTGCTCTCTTATACGTCAAAAGTTTGCACAAGATTAAGCATGACACTTCCTTGTGCAGTTTTATTGCAGGTGGTGGTAAGTCATCACACGGCTCGATAAAGCATAACTCTTCCTTTTCTGGGAGAACCATTTGTTCCCCCGTTTGAAATTAAAAACAACGTCATATTCCTAGCAGGCCAAACGCCTGTAACTTAATACAAATAACATAATAATATTCAAATTTTTCTAACAGTTCCATCCTATTTATCATTTTATTTACAAGTGAAGCTTAACTTTAACCTATTTTAAGTACTCGTTACTTGAATGGCGCATTTTCAATGAGACTGTCATTTTGTTAAGCATTTAATAAGGTAAAATTTAAACTACAGGTTTAACTTCTTCTAGAGGGATTAGTGTAAGCATTTGATATTGAAACATTTCATTTCCCATAGTTTTAGCAATAATAGATTTAGGCATGGGATTACATAGGCAGTAAAAACACAAAAAAATGATAAGAATATTGATAAAAGGTGTCATTATTTTTAGCAAGAGTGGTCACCACAGTCCTGATATGAGCCGGGATTTAGAAAGGTCAACCCAGTCTCATGGGAAAATGTACCTCCACTACGTCAGTCAACACTGCAAAACGTAGTGGAGGTACATTAATGGCCATTTTTTTGTGGTACTGTTACATTTCTTCTGCCTATACCCTTTCTATTGTTTTGCGTCCTAGTCACGTGACTTTCAAGATTCCAGCTGGGAGAAGAAAAAATTATATATATGGCCGACATTCGCTTATTTTTTTGTGGAAAGATTAATAACTTGAGTTTGTTTTTGCATTAAAATGAATTTTGATTACATTTCTAGTGAGAAATGTATAGTTTGTTGTTAGAATATTTACTCAGGGAATGTACATATTCACTTGCTTGTTCATTTCTTGCAAAGATTTTTTAAGATAATGTGAAACTGTAACGTTTTGGTATAAACATGGCCGAGATTTCGTAGTGGAGGTACATTTTCCCATGAGACTGGGTTGGAAAGGTCATTCTTAGAGGAACAGCATTCTGGGACATGGCTTGTCGCCGATTCTTTAAGGCAGACATACTTGAGTAACATGAGTTTCATTAACATCAGAAAAGTATGTACAACAGGAAGTTTTAATCATCAGGCACACACCGCCTTGGCTAGTAGTAACATGTCCACAACTGTTCTGTTTTGCAGTACTATTAAACGCATTTCACTTGTTTGTTTTGTCTTTTATTGGTGTCTATCATTGCATAGTGCAGTGTCTTGATCATCAACATGGATTTGCCAACCCCCAACCGTGGGAAAAGTGAAAGTCCTATTTTGTTAGCTGTGCTCCAGTCTGAACCCCATATAGAATCATAGGGTCTGAACGCATAAACTGGAATGCACATGATGCAAAACAAAAGGTCTGTGAGGCGTTCATGGGTGTTATGTATAAGGTAGCCGGCTTGGCAGACTTACGCTCGACAGATCACACATAGCGATCTGTCTTGTTATGCTGCAGAGCTGGTTATAAACATGGTGGTTTGGGTTTGATGTTAAAATATTACGTCTTGTGGGGTTCTGCCTGTATAATTCGCCCTTATTTTTCCCCAATGTTTTCCCAATGATAACTGTAAGGCTTGTCCAAACTCATGCCCATTTAAACGATATTAGTTATAATTTCCCTCCATGTTATGGATCCACATTGCTGATTCTTTCTGTGGAGAAATTACACCTTCCACAGCCTTTCTAGCTTCCTCTAACAACCACAGGCGGAAAACTGGGATTGTTGGAGGCTGCTGATCTCCTACATTAGGATTTGTGACCTGCAAATAGTCTGGAGATAATTGATGATCTGCTTTACTCAGTTCATCCAAGTCTGGGTACAGATTTGGAATATGTCTGGGGGGGTTAAGGGATTTATGGTGTTTGTGGTCTATCTTCTTCATTCGCTACCACAGCTTGCTTGACTGAAGACCTTTTTTGGCGTGTTCTTTTTTTGTTTAGAACCTAATATTGTGCGACACAAAACAGATGCTGGTGCACTGCAGTCGCCGCTTCACCAGCTGCCCCACCTGTCGCCACACCTCCTCGTGCTGGTTGAGGCTGTCTTCCTCTATATTGTGTGTCATTATTTTCTGGACGGATGAACATAACATTAAATCTTTTTATTTTTTATTTTTTGTAAAAACCTCCTGTCTACTTTGCGGATGTATTAAGAAACACCAAGATATTTTGACCTCTTTATTTATTTATGATCTATTTTATACTTTCCCTTCCACTTCTGCAAGTATTTTAAATCAATTGGATCAATAAACTTTTCATACCCTCTAGGATCTCCCCTCTTAATTTGTCTTGCATCCAGTTTAACTTTTTTAGTGTGTTTACAGGACTTTACCTTACAGGACTTTAACCTGTTTATTTAACTTTTTTTTTTTTTTTTACCGGTGAATTTTAAATGCTTTTGCAAAAGACTACTTGATTTGGTTGGTTCTCTTGGGTCAGATCCCTTCAATCCCTTTTTTTTCTCTCTCTCTCTTTCTCTTTTTTTTGAGTTTTTACAGCACTAGTGGTTCATTTTTCTGACTGTAGGCTGACAGGAAAGATGGTATGAGAGAGGGGGAGAGATATGCAGCAGAGGAGCACAGGTCGGATTTGAACCCAGGTGGGTTGGGCCGAGGAAAAAGGCCTCCATACAAGGGCCCTGCGCACTAACCATTGCATCACCTGCACCCATGGTGGATGCTCACGGAGTTCAAACTGATCCTGAAAAGATCTCTGCTCTCAAAGTTGGCTACTCCCATCTAATTTCAGAGAGCAAAGGCTTACAAAATAGAACTGCCCAAACTGGCTCACCGTCCCAATCATTCTCTTGCAAAACAATAGACCAATGAGTGTGAAACAGGATTCCAAACGATAATCTAAAAGCTGAGATGTGGACCCATCCTTGCCTTTGCAAACTTGCAACTTCCTTATGTATTGCATCCTGATGCTTGTCACGATGGGTTGTGTGCTTTATCATGTAAAGGGGGGAGTGACTGCATATGCTAGTCGGGGGCTTTTGAGGAGTGAACAAAACTATCCCACACATAAATTGGAATTCTTAGCCCTCAATTGGGCTGTGTGCGAAAAGTTTTGTTATTATCTTTACGATTCCAGTTTCAGTGTACTGACTGGTAATAATTTGGTAACTTACATTTTAACAACAGAGACGTTGGATGAGGCAGGACAAAGATAGCGTTCAATGAATGGTGTTCACTGAATGTGTTCATATTTTTAGTAAACAGTGAACTGAATGGACCAGTCTTTAAGTGATGAACAAGCACAAGAGCGACATTCACTGTAAGAAAATATAAGCAGAATAAAAAATTAAAAAAAGACTCAACTTAAAATGTCCCTGACTGGAACCAAACTGCTTTACATACCTTAACATATGCACAGCAAACTTTGAAGATTGCCTGCAACACAATTACTTATTGCACATATTAAACAACAACTGTAGTGTAATTTACAGTAATAAGTAAGGAACATTGCAATGAATAAACCGCAAATGCTTGAATTCCAGTACTTTGAAAGTGTCCTTCTAATCTTGTAAACAGCGTTAAGTGAGAGAATATGAGGAAACATTTATTTAATTAATAATGTATGTCTCACATGTCCAAACAGACATGCCATAGCAAAACATGGCATAGCAAACATTGAGTTAAAGGCATTAACAGGTGGTGTAGATCTGGTTGATAAACTGACAGGAAAAGACAGGAAAACGTTACTGATCTAGAACAGAAGTACAAGACATATCCAACAGAAGAAAAGATGGAAATGGAAGGAACAAAAGCAGACTAACTCAGAGACTTGAGATTGAGGGTAAAACTGAACTGAGAAGTAAAGAAATGCATTTAAAAAATACGACAGATACGAATACAAAGAAGTGAACTAAATGGAAAAACCCACATCACAAAATACCAAAAGAAGACAAAAATATAAAACAAAACTAATCAAGTATAAGCTAACCCTAACAAGGAAAATGTAAGCAGAAATACACCACAATTAAACTAAGGAAGAAAAAAAAAACACATTTACCTGACAATGATGAGAACTAAGACACAAAAGGATATAGGAAAAATTTAAGATTTAAAAAAGGGTTATCACAATAAAAGTTCCAGGTAACATCAAAGGACTTTGACATGACTGCAGCTGAGGGCTGGAATGCAGATGGATTGGTAAATCAAGAATTTCGTCTTATGACTGAACTCTCAAATCATCATAACAAAGCAGAAAATCCTCAAACAATACAATGAAACAACTTCTAAAAGTAATTGTTTTCTAAATAT